AGATCTCGAGATATTTACACTTCACAGTCTTTAAACACATAAATATATATCAATGTGTAGCCACTGTGCACTTTTAATATTCCAGTAGAAGCTGAAGAAAGTTTCTTATTAGTGTGTCTGGGTATGTCTGGGGTTAGGACAGGGACTCCTCAGTAATTCCCTCAATCTGCGTTTCTGCTTTGTTTATTGTTTTATTTTTTATTTTTCTTTCCCAGGCCTTAAGACTGATACAGCCAAGCCACAGTTGGCCCTACAAATCCCATTATTCTCCAAGAGGGCTCTCTGGTGGTCCTTTTTGCCTCACCGTGAGTGCCACTGATGTTGACCTGGCTTTCATTGCCAACATCAGACAAATCCTCAGGTTCTCCCTGTGGTTTCCTTCACACTTGCGTGAAGCATGCTAGACCAGTGTGCATCCCATACCAAACATGTGAAACTCCATCCTGCCCAGCAGAGAGATCTGCAGCAGACTTAGATCAAAGACACAGAGGGGCTGTGAGAACAAAAACCAGCTGCTGGCAAACTAAGATTTATCTGAACCCCAGTCAAAGTTGCTTCAAGTTCTTTTTGAGTGTGCAAGGACAGTCAGGCAACATCTCAATCATCACTCTATAATAACCTGTTTCTATCCTAAGAGATGTCTCCAGGGAAGGAGTCATACCTAGGTTGATACTAGATACGAGTACCTGGTCCAAGGGAGAAACAAGCCACTGTGAATTCAGGAGACCTACCTAAGTCTTTGGCTTTCTTAGCAGCATCAGTGATGTAATCTTGTGATCGTCCATCAGTGAAGACTATGCCCACCTTGGGGACCCCAGGCCTAGCTCCATTGATGATGGAAAAGGAACTGTCAATGAGGTACTTCAGAGCCTGGCCTGTCATCGTTCCTTTCTCCATGTAGGCCATTTTCTTCACTGCTGCTTTGATGTCCTTCTTGTTCTTGAACTGCCCCAGTGGAAACTCCTGTCTGACAGAACTAGAGTACTGAACCAGGCCAACTTGGGCCTGTTTGTCTGACACGTCCAGTGAGTCCACAATTTGGTTGATGAATTTCTTCACCAGCTCAAAGTTCTCAGGCCGCACACTCTTGGAGCCATCGATCAGGAAAACAAGATCCAGCGCAGATCCGGATCCACCACTGCAAGCTGAAGCAAAATATGAGAAAAGGGCAAAAGAAGACAGCAACTAAGACCTCAACTAATTATGAAGGAAAATATAACCCCAGTGCCATTTTTTTTTCTAATGAAATAAGTTTAATCAATCAAAATTCAACAACAGTTCACACTAATATTTTCAAAACAATTCTTGGTTATAAGCCCATGGTTTCCTTTTCTGCCTTTTATGAGCAGAACATGTCTACCCTGTCTCAATTCTATCCCCACCATACCACTGCAGATCACAGCTCTGCTCAGTGCAAATGAAAATCATTACATACCGCTGCAGGTCTTCGCATCGCTGTTCAGCGTGAAGCCCTCTTTACAAGCACACTTGTACGCTCCTGGGGTGCTGATACAGATCTGCTCACAGTCATGGTCTCCAGTGGCACACAGGTCTGACACCACTGCAAGCAAAGGTGCAGATTAAAATCAGAGACCATGCCCAGGCCTTCTCAACCCTGCTTGGCCCATCCACAAAGCATGATATTTGTCCCATACGCTCAGTGATAACTAAGCCCGCTCTATAGCAAGACGAGGCACCAAAGGTCATTACTCTTGGATAGTGACTGAGATACAAGAGGCAAGGAGAAATTTTCATGAGTCTCCTGACTCTAACACACAGCCAGGATTAGAAATAGTGTCCATACTGAGGACAAAAACCATCTGTCTGTTGAGCAGATCACAATATACTTCACTCTCCAAAGCTACTGGTTGAGACTTGGTTTCCAGCCTACCATCTGGGCTGGCCAATACCCATTTTTTCCAGCTATGCAGTACAATTATGGTTAGTGACTTCAGCCACATGTACAGTTTTCTTTCCTGGATGGGATTAATGTCCAAGCATACTTGGAATTTGCTTCCGAGCTACCCTCTCATGTGCGGCTTCCAGATTCACTCTCACAAACATTTCTGCCTGCTGATCTGAACCTGGATCTGACTCCTGAGATGCTAAGCAAACAGAAGCTGAATTGCTGTAGTCTGAGCCAGCAGCATTCAGTGACTGACAACACTGTCATGGCTACAGCAGTGATGATGGAAAACAAACTCAAAAGTAAGCAATTTGTTTAGAAATACGAGGGAAATCTGTGCAGAAAACTGAGCATTTCTGGTTCTTTTGTAATGATGGGAGGTGGCACAAAGTCTTTCAACATTAAGGAGCTTCTGTTCATTATTTCAAGTTATTTGTGTTCTGCTCTGCCTGTATTTTGTACTTCTTCTGGCCTTCCCAATTCACATGTACACATGTTGTGCCAGCACTGGTAGATCTTTCCAGCAGACACGTAGCTCACGTGCAGATGGCTGTAACACTGGGCTCTCAGATTGAGTTCTCTGAAGCCTACAGAGATCTTATTAGTCCAACTATTGGCTGGATCACCAAGGGTGATCCTTTTTCCCTTGTGATTGTTGAGCATTAGGAAACAGCTTGGACAGTGCTGCACAGTTCTTCCTGCTGTCAGTACCCACAAACCACGCTTTGCAGTAGCAGGTGGTGTTTGGGTACATCTCCAAGGACGGTTTTGTGCAGCTGCTTGCATAGGATGATAACAGCCCACTTGGCAGTTAATGTGGTGCTGTTCTCTGTTAGCTATAATAACCCTTAGTACAGTGCTTCCTTCAGATGCATCTCTGAGAGTTTTTTACCAGGGGGACAACTTTGTCATCTGCATGTTACAAATTTGAAAAGCAAGGCACAGAAAGCATTTTTTTTTTCTCTTTATCTTTTTGAATGCCACCAATACCGGAACTTCAAAATACATTGTCAGGACTCTCTGTCTCTGGCTGGCTCCTGACTCCAGGGCAGCCAACACAAACTCCCACAAATATTCATTGCCTGGATTCTACCTTCTCAAATTTTCTTTCTATCCCACTTTTGGTATGTAGTATTTGTTCCCCTCTTCCATGAGCTTCTGGTGCAATGACACCTGATTACAATACATGACTCACTTTATATTCAAAATTTTCCTCCTTCCTACAAAGGAAGAAATTTTCCTTGATGAAAAGCTTCTTACCCCCATCATTTTCAGCCTGAAAGTTGAATTATGAAATTTTACACCTCTTGAAGAAATTGGTCTCGGAGAGTTTTACAGGTCCATCTGCGTGTATGTGTTTGCGATGCCTTGCCATAGGCACCGTGGTGTATCGCACCCTTTAAAAAGTGTTGCCCTCCTACAGTCTTGTGGGTACGTTGGAAGTAATAAAGCTTTCTCACTCCATTCACCGGTTCATGTAGGAGTGAATATGTGTTTGTAGGATCGCCAGGCTCTTTTTATATGGTGTGCAGAAAGGCATTAGGTACTGCCCCAGCCAGGAGAGTTCCTGCCTCACAAGGCTTGCAAAAGCAACAGAAGAGTCAGGGAAAGGTGGTTCGGCCTCTAGCAGGGAACTGATACCATCCTTTGCTCGGCTGGGAATTTGGAAGACAATACTGGTGGGGGAAATTACAAGCCATAGTCTCAGAAGTGCCCACATAGGCTTTAAACATAAGGACAATGATTTTAGCTGTGTAAAGATCATGTTTTCCAGGTTATTTTTCAATACCTCAAGGAGTATGTGGGTCATGTTACAAAGTCTTCTGTGCCAATGAAATCTGGAGACTTCTCTAACTAAAACCTGAAATCCCTAAACAAAACCTGAAATTCTTGAAAGGCAACTTCAAAGAGCATCTGCCTTCCATACTGCTTCATGCTCCTGCAAATCCAAGCCCTTGGAACAAGGAAGCAGATGGATGCAGGCTGATCGCACACACAAATTCCATGTGAGGAGCTTGCTGGCAGCCACTTGTACCTCTTGGCTAGGAACCCAGGGTTGCGGCAAGGACTTACCACAGAAAGCTTCTTGAAACTTGTGGGTCAGCTTCTCTATAACACTGTAGCTCTCCACGTAGTCCACGTGATCATCCAGGGGCTCGCTAGCAATTTGCCGCAGTGTGTGCATGTCCACCCGGCCGACCCCAATGGCAAAGATCTCAATGCCAGCTGCTCTGGCCCTTGCTGACACATCCTGCACTCCATCCTGGGGACGTCCATCGGTCACAACGATCGCTACCTACGCAGAGGAGGGCAGAGGCAAGGTATATGCTTGAACGGGCGTTAATATCACAAATGCTTGTGGAACAGGCTGGGTTAGTAAAGAAGGTTTCACGTTTCTAATATTAAAGAAAAAGGAAATGCCACCCCCTCCTCCCCCTCTTCCCATTCTTCCTGAGGTCACACAAGCCATTCTTGTTATAGGGGGTTCATTTCTTTCTGCACTGGAAAGGTTAAACTGCCACGGACCCAACTGATTTAATTAAGGGATAACGGGCGCATCTCGCCCCTAAAGAAACCAAAGTAAAGGTTATGTTCTTCATACGCAAACCTAATGCTCAGGCTGAACTCTTAACTATCTTCATGAACCCCCAGCTGACACTAAGGACAACCCTGACTCAGGATGGAACTTTAAAGAATCTCAGGAAATGCAATGGAAACATCATGAGCTGAAGAGTTTTCCCCATTTTATAGAAGGAGGAGCTGAAGCAGAGGGAGGGGAAGAGATCTGCCTAAGGTCACGATGTGTGTCAGTGCCTGCCCTGATTTCCGATTCCCTGTTCCACAAGCAATAGCAGAGGTGAAATCCTGTCCCTACTAACATCAGCATTAAATTGACAGCTGGTTTAAGTGGGAACTGGGTTTCACCCTAGGTTAGATGGAGCCCTGAACCAGCCTCCAAGAGGCCTGCTCCTGTTGCTAGATTGCCCATTTTCCTCTTTATTTTTCTTCTGATAAGTGGCATTGTCACAAACCCTTCATTTTTGTTCTTTGCCAATTCATCTGCTCCAGCTACTTTTCCTTACAACTGTTTTATTGTGGCACCACTGTCAACTCCAAAGCAAATGGCTGGGATGTAATGCAGTATGGAGAAATATAATCAGCCAGAGGAGGTGAGTGGCTAAGCAGAAAAAAACCTTCACATCACAGGCAAATACCCTTAGTAATCTAGAAAATAAAGAAACATCAAAAAAAAAAAAAAGGCAGAAAAATAATCTATCTAACAGCAGTAGTGAGTTTGAATGAGCTATCATCTGGTCATTAAGGCAGTAGTTGCTCTTTGTCTCTATGCTATATATGCTCTCCATCTTTCTGAGCATAAAATCAGACCCACCAGCTGCTCAGTTAGGACGGTGTGATGGCTGTTTTATGTCCTCAGGCAGGAGAAAGGTCATCTCGGGTAAGGTCAGGAGTGGGGTACCCTGCCCCATGTGCCCAAGGGGCCTTGGCCATGCAGATGAAGTGGCTTCTTCCACCTCTGCCCACCCTTCAGCTGAGGGACAGCTGATGCCGCAGTCATCTGTCCCAGAGTAATGCTGCAATACTAAAGTAATCTGCTGCCCCATTCGGAGCTTTCCTCTATGCAAAACAGAAAAATGCAGAGCTTTTCAACCTGGTGCAGCTCTGTAAGTTCAGGTGTTTGTCTGCACTTCCTAAGGGCTACAAATTCAAAATTCCTAGTAGCATCACGATTCTGTAACTGGCTGCTTCCAAGGGAAAAATAAATAAATTCAAGTATTTCTCTTCTGCTTGTGGCCAAAATAAAGAAAAGCGTCACCCACAGCAGATGCCAGTGTGTGTTGTAAAGGAGAATGAATATGAAAAGCAAAGATTGACTGAAAGGAGCACTCGGGTTGTTTGAGGAGCAGCAGCCAAGCCAAGGAGCAAGCCAGCCATGCAGTGGTGCTTTCTGCCAGGAGAGAGAGCCCTCGGCTCGGCCGCTCAGCAGCTGAGTGCTGGTTTCTGCATACACACAGCAGCTCTGAGACGGGGGCTGCCAATTAGAGCTTATCAAAAGCCAACCTGTCAGGAAACAAGCTGTATTATCAAGTAGCTTCTGTGAGCAACACCACCCCATGAACAGGTTTCTGTCACTATCTGCGTATCGTTCTCGCAGTGTTTGTCACAGGGTGGAGGTGTTGCATATCCTCCTGGCATTTCTCTGTCTAAATAAAGTGATTCTCCAAGTTTAATCAGTTCCTTTGGTTCTTCATGTCAGGGTGGCTTCTCCACATAGGCAAGTCCCAGGTACGACCCAGGAGGTGTCTGGTAGCAGCATCCACGTCAGGATCTGATGGGAAAGATCTTCATAATGCAACTGTGTGAAAATCTACTATAAAGCACTCCAAATTCATGTTGCTTTCTGACCTGCTGTTGGAGAAAACAAAGCTTCTGGGTAACAAAAAGTCTGGTTCAGGCATTGGGAATTAACCAGCGAACCCATGGCTAAAATGAACCTGTCTGTGACCATGGCCAGGATCAGGTGCTTACAGAGTGTAAGAAATAGAACAAGTATAAAGTGATCTTGCTATCATATGTAGTTACCTTGATAATTAGGAAATTCTGATTTTTCTTAGGATTCCCACTCTAGACCTTTGCCCTCCCTGCCAGCCTGAGTGTTCCAGTGAGTTCCAACAGGAAAAAAAAAAAAGCTTTTGCTTTAAACCTACCTCCAAATTATTTGCAGTCACAGGATCTCTGTAATTCTCTGTGTTATGACCTTGTCTCATTTAAAAAGCTGAGAGTCCTGGTGTGTGCCTTGTTTGGTAAAGAGCAAGAGACAGGTTGGAGGGAAGGAGCAACCACTGCGTCCTGGAGAGGCTGACGTTGCTCTGCAGCACAGGGCTTGTGCTGGACTCAGCAGGTAGGTAGCCATGTGAGACGAATTAAGAAAGGGTGAACGCTTTTGCTGTCTCAAATAGCAGAACAGGATCTCCAGTTTTGCCCTAAGGAAACTCAGAAACTTTTCCTTTTCAAGGTCAAAACTTTTACTCATTTTAACCACCTCATTTCATTTTCCTGCGAATTCCTAACTTTATGGATCCTTCTTGTATTAATTCTGTCATATAGAAATCCCTCATGTTCTCATGACACAATTTATTTGTGGTTAACTAAGACACCAGAGTATTCATGGGCATCCCTAGACATTCATGTTTCAGGGTTGCCGTGTGTAGGCAATCCAGCAGCTAATGAGGTAGCTCTGTCTCATTATGCAGCGTATAACGTGAATGTTGTAGCAGCACTGAAAGGGGAATCGGGCAGAAAGTTGAATAAGCCCTTGATTTTCTCAGCAATTTGACAATCTATTTGTTGTTCCTCCTAAAGAAAGATAAAAGTAATTGGGCACCCCTGTAGTTTTTGATAAAGGTATAAACAGGCTTTGCTCTGAGCTCCTGCAGAAAAAAAATAGTGCTTTTCCCTGTCCTGGGGTGACGTTTGCTGCACAGAGCACAGCAAGACCGAATGATCTTGTGATGCTTTGACCAGTGTCCCACATGGTTGACAACCATAGCACAGATTTTCACAAGGTCTTGCTGGATTTCTGCTGTGTGAAGGAGCAAGGACCGTGTCCAATGTTTCTGGCAGCTTCACCTCCCTAAATTACTGTGTGACCTATTCATCCTCCCAGGCAGATGATGGGGCCACCCTGAGCAGCATGAGGGTCACAGAAGGAAAAAGCTTGCTGGACTTCAAGGCATCAGGGGAAAAGGTAGAAAAATAACCAGGGAACCAAGGAATGATAATGGTTGTAGAGTCTCCCACCTTGCAGGCAGACTGGACATGGTCCTGGGCAACCAGCTCTAGGTGGCCCTGCTTCAGCAGGGAGGGGTTGGTCAATCTGACCTCCAGAGGTCCCTGCCAAACTCAACCTTTTTGTGATTCCGTCTCTTTGACAAGATCCAAAGTGGAAGGAAAGAAGTAAAAGCCTGTAGTGATTTTTTTTTTCTTTTTTGATGCCTAAGATAAATCATTAAAAAGACCACTACTACTCTTCTGCTTTTTTTTGGATGTCCAGAAAATGAGGTTTCAGGAAGACAAAGCAACTTCAGAGTTCATTGTACCACTGTCCACAGGAACATTGATGCTTTAGCCATACTATTGGAGTAAGCAACTGAAGAATTTTGATATTTTTTGAAGTGTTCCAATATTTAAACTCAAGGCTTGTTTGGTAAATTAGCAGGGAACAGCAGCTGTTGTGAATATTGGGATGACAGGAAACCACAAGGATTGCAAAAGCACATTGAGTGAGTTGTCTGGCAGCCCAGCTGCAGAGCAGAGAAGAGCGGGAAAATAGCGCGCACGGTGTGGAAGGGATTAGTTAGATAAAGATCCAGGCCTTTTCATACGCAGCTTGGTGAAAATGTCTCTTTGATCTACAGTACTGGTCAATCGATCTACAGTACTGGTCAACGCTGCATGTAAAGTGTCAGGCCGCATTAAGGAAAAAGACAGAGACTAAACCTGAAAGTATTATAATGTTATTGTATAAATCAGGACTGTGTCCCAGTCCTGACGTAAACATGGTCGCCTTGTCTTAAAAAAGACATTGGGGAATTAGGTAAAAACAGTGCAAAATAAAGAAATATGGTGAGATGTCTGAGGGTTGTAAATGGATTGGGTAGCAATCCTAGAGGAAAGTGGATCTAAAAAGATCCCATTATTTGTTCTGTTTGAAAGACAAACAATAAGAAAATCAATGGGAGCTGCCTTCATGCAACAGGAGTGGAGATCAGACCCCTTCTTTAGGATCCTTCATCCGTAACCCAGGTACCATTCTGGGTACAACGATGGGCCATAGGTTTCCTGTTTCTTGATTTTCTCCATCCATTAGGTGAGGGTCTCTGCCCGATGCAGAGCATCTGAGGGCTCTGTGGGTGCTGCCGGAGCTGTGTCAGGGTTGTGCTCAGTGTGGGATCACTGGTGCCATGGAGGGCACTGGAATTATGTTTCCAGTAATGAGCTCCTCATGTGGTAGATGGCAGGTACATGGAACACTTAACTCCCTTGGCTGTTCCTCTGCTGCCCTCCTTTGCTCACAGGATGGAAGTCGAGGAGAACAAAAAATCCCTACAAGTAAATCTTCTGGACTGGTGAGGGTAGAAGGGATGGAGCCTGGGGAACTGTTACCTTGCTTGAGCTGTCAGGCCCCAGAGGCCACTTAATAGCAAATGAGCAACTGCCTGTGATTTCTGCTGATGTGCATCCATGCAATAACTGCCAGGTTTTGGAAAGAAAACTTTGTGCACTGACTGGCACCCTTCATGCACCCTTATCCATCTGTAGAGTTGCTCAACAGCTTTGAATGGAAGGCTGATGACAGGAGACGCATCTCAGAAGCAAATGCTTTAACCATACCTCTCACGAGAGCTGCCCACCTCCAAGGGAAGGAGCAGCGTCCACCCCCTCTTGCATCACTACCACATTTACTGTTGCACGGTGGGCAGCTACTGCTGCCACTGTAGGAGGCAGGACAAGTACATCTGAACCTCTGTCCTGCTTGGACCTTCTGGCACTTCTGGATATTGGAACAATGAATGGAGTGAGATGAGAAATAAGCTTTTTTCAAGAGGCTATGGGAAGCAGTGAGAAGTAAATGTCTTTTTTTGCTTATCAGTACTCAAGAACTGAAACGTTTCTATGGTCTGGCATTGAAACTGTTGGGATTTTTTGTATTTTCTTTCTTATTAAATAGCTTTTGCACTTCAATCAGAGTAAAAATTTCTGAAAAGCAGAAATAGGTATTATCCAGATTATTTTTTGCTTGTTAGTTTCAGTTCAGCTGCCTGGTTTTGTGCTAAACAACACACAAGAAAACCAAATATTTCCCATGGCTTTTAACCTTCAGGACAGAAGGACACTGTTTGTGTGTGGCTATGGATGATCCTGCTTAGAAGACACCTGCAGCTCCCACTCTGCTCATGTTTTTCCACCATGAGCCAGGCTTAGATGGCAGAAGGGCTCTGCTGGAGACCTGTCACCTTCCCACCAGCTCCCCTGGAGCAGGTTCACCAGAGGAAACATCTCTTTCCCATGCAATATTTGAAACAGCTCTTCAGAGAAGTCATCCATGGAGAAACTGGGAAGCCCTGAGCAATCTGAGAAATGGGTCCTTTCCAAAGCCTTTTGAGAGTGGTGGGAATTGGCAGCATGGATTGTTACTGCCTCTCCTACGGCCCTGCAGCAGACTTACTGCTGCTGGGGAAGTGGGGAAAAGCACAACACACCTTGGCAGCAAGAAGGCAGGTGCTCGAACCTCCAGAAAACAGCAGATTGGAGCTAATGGCTGAATCCACACTTAGTCTCTTTGAAGTAGTTCAGTGAAATGAATGAAAACAATAAGTCTTGCACCTAAAGGATTATAAAGCTCTTTCCTAAAAAAAATAATTATAACAATATAATATTGATAGTGTCTTGCAATTTCATAGAATCATAGAATCCTAGAATGGTTTGGGTTGGAAGGGACCTTTAGAGGCCATCCAGTCCAACCCCCTGCAGTGAGCAGGGACACCGTTAACCAGATCAGGTTGCTCAGAGCCCCGTCCAACCTGATCTTGAATGTTTCCAGGGATCGGGCCTCCACAACCTCTCTGGGCAGCCTGTTCCAATGTTTCACCACCCGCATTGTAAAGAATTTCTTCTTTATATCCAGTCTAAACCTACTCTGCTTCAGTTTAAAACCATTAAAACCATTTTGCAATGATTCCTTGCAGTGAACCTCAAAGAATTTGACAAACAAACCAATATTACTCCTTTTGAATAAAAACCATTGCAATTAGGTCTCGGTGTTCCCCTGCAAGAGCTGGGTTATTATATTTTGCACCAAGTGACTCCTAAGCTTGAGTAATGATGTGATCATGATGGCTCATCAGATGAGCTTCTCTCTCTGGAGCCGATTGCCAATGAGACTTTAGTGAAGGTTTCTTGGAGTGTAATTTTTCTCCTGTTATCACTCTCAGTTTTCTTCCTACTGTATCAAACTAGATTTAGACTAAGGATATATAGCCGATTTTCCCTGCTGTGAATCCTGCAATAAAAGACCATATGAGGACAAATTCATTCATATTTGCAAGTTGCTTGTAGTTCAACATGATGAGGGGGCACACAAGGCTTTTAATTAAATCATCCTTGTAGGTGACAGCCTCATTTTAAGGATATCTTGTGAATTCCAGACCAGCAGAGCCTTCAGGTTGCTGATTTTCGGAGTTGGCAGATCTTTACCAGTGCCTATTTTTCAATATTCAGTATTTTTTTTTTTGACTTGCCATCCCTGGACATCTTTTCCATTTTCTGCTCGGCCTTCTCTAGAGTATTACTAGCAATGAGAGGCATGGAAAGTGACTGGTGTTCCAAAAATGTTGTGATCAAGAGAAAAATTCCAGGTTTCCTCACTCCAACAGCTGGGCTTCTGTCCAGCTGGTGGAAAGCTCTAGCTGTTTGCTAACACCTTTGCTTATTTTTCTGGTTCAGTCTCATAGCAGAGAGCCAGCGGAGCTGGCATTGGACACGAGGGCCTACAAAGCGTGTTCGTGATGTTTAGCTAAAACACATATTGTCAAGAATATACATTCTCCACATGCTCAGAAGAGAGTTTTCCTGATGACGGTCACTGGGCTGAGGTTTGGTTTCATTCATGGTCAAGTCCAGAGATAATGCGTAAGGTATCTGGGGAATAATTTTTTAAAGACTGAGCTTCCTGGACAGGGAATATGGGTCAGGAGCAGTGATGCCCATGGCAACCACATGTGGAATTAAGCTGACCATATACCACAGCCTTAAATGCTAAATGCTCCAGAATGGGAAACACAGACATCAGCCAGCCTCTGAAAAACTGGAAGAGCAGTGAAGGACACTGAAAGAGCACTTTGTTTTTTAGCTGAAAGGGGCCATTTCAAAGGAAACTTTCAGAAGGTTTCCTCACTTTTTACTATGGTGGATTCTGAAGCATCTTTATTATAATATTTTGGGGAAGATGAGCATTGTCCATGCCTAGAAAACTGGCTGAGATCGTCATCTCATGGCAGTATGGTGTTGCAGGCACACTGGAAACAGGGAGCCACATCCCAAAGGACAAAGGGCAGATGCTCCAGGCAGAGAGGAGAGCTAGTCAAGCTGGATTAAATTTACTGTGACAACTCTTGGCCAGCTCGCCCAAACGAAAGTTGAGCTTTGTTTTCAAGGAGAGTTAGGAGGTTTCCACCTTCCAAAGGTTTGTCACCTTTGACAGTTGATCTCCATTTGTCCCCACGCATTCAAACACAGAAAATCCCCTTTCCTCCTTTTCTGATTTTTCCAACCACTCCATGATCAGCCACGGGAAAGAAGGAGTGTCCAAGAAACGGGTAATTTGCTTTCTTACCTTATTAAAATTAGGAGACTTCACCCTGGCCCCTTCGGAGTCACTAAAAGCCCGGCTGATGGCAAACTGTATAGCCAGGCCCGTCATAGTCCCAGTGGAGAGTGGCTCTATCCTCCGGACTGCTTGCAGGAGCCCCGCTTTAGTTTGGTAGGTCTTGAGGGAAAACTCGTTCTTGACGGCACTGGCATAATTGATCACACCCACCCGGGTGGAGTTGGGGCCTACGTCTAGCCCCTCGATCACCCGGGACATGAAGACTTTGACTTTCTCAAACTCATGTGGGCGCACACTTCGAGAGCTGTCAATGATGAACACCAAATCGGTGGGTTTGGTTCTACACAGGGTTCCTGGAAAGGATAAGGAGGGAGGAGAAAAATAAAAGAAGAAGAAAAGTATACTAGGAGGGAGAAGATGGTCGTCTTAGAGCAGCAGTGGAGGCTAGAGGACCTGTCAGCTTCAATCCTTACTCTGCCTGTCTCAGAGAGGCCCACTGAGACCACTTTAACCTAATAGTTCTAAATGTTCCTTGCCCTTTCATAGAAAAATGTCTGTGAGAAAAGCACAGTTACCAGTTGACAACGTGTACTTCTGAAGGAGCAAGCTGATGAGATGCACTGGTGGGAGCAGGTTACCCACTTGTAACCCCAGGCTATTGCTAATATCTACATGAAATTTAATTCACTTATGGCAACATGGAAGGAGGAATAAAACTGTGAACTGAAGCCTATGCGTGCACTTCTGCATCAAACAAAGTCTCAAAAGGAGTTATCGCATTTCGGACATGGATAAGCAATTCACATGGATATTAATTAATTAGATTATATCTTCGCCACACATGACCAGAAGCAGGCGCGAAACTCAGCAGTTCAGATTGAGTTGTGAATCAAGATACTCAGATTAACCAACTGACATAACATGAGCCAGACTGGTGTTTGTCAGCTAGTGTGGCACTGATAATGAAATACCGAAACACAGCAAAGGCCAGCGCTGCTTTATTTCTGTGAGCGGGTGAGGGAGAATACAATGGAGAGACGTAGAACCAGGTAATTGATAGTTAATCTCTACAACCCCACAGTAAGACATGAATATCCACTGTAAAAAAATGAATGGTATAAACAGGAAACATTAGCAAAGCAAAGAGCTGTGTGATTTTTTTTTTTAAATTTCTGTTTAATGTTGTTTTCCATCCTAATTTTCAACTGTGACAAAACATAAAAGGGACTGATATTTTTTAAGATTTTCTAAATGAATAGTCTCATTTTCCCCACCAGTTCTATAGCATTCTGTTCTTTTAATTTTTTTTCTATCATTTAGCCTCTCTCTGTAGGGGCATCAAGTGCTCCGTTAATATTTGATTTCCACAGAGAAGGGCAATATAGGTTATATCAGAAAGGAGATTTCTGCGGACAGATTTTTAAATGTGAGCTTTTGGGCCAACAAATCTGTTCCAAATTATGACATAAATGTTATAGCTAGTCCTCAGTGTGAAATCTAATGGAGCTTTCAGTCTTTCAGACAGATGAAAATAAATACCCGGTGATTTATCTATACAGAATATAATCAGGTTAGGTTCCTGAGAGACACTAATGCTGAATTTGCTTCTGGCTCCCGGAAAGGTCTCTCTAAAAGATGCCGTGCATGGAAGGAAAGCAGGCAGCAGTTACTTCGTCAGATGCTCTAGCTTCCTCTGAAATGCAATACAACCTTTTCCCATGTGCATGACTTGGACTTTGCCGCCATAATTCCTTGCAGAGGAAGGCAAACCTCAGCTGGCAGTCCATCCACGGCATTGCAGATCCCTCTGCTAGGGGCTGGTTGTGCCCATTTTACAGGTGAGAAATGAAGGCATAGAGAAAGGCTCAAATTCTTGCCACCAGTTCCTCCAGAAATAAAGCGCAGATTCCCCCTTGCCACAGTAGCTAATGAATCACCTCTGGTTTTAGTGACAAACCAAGGAAGAAAAGGTTGTTTGGTGGTTTTTTTCCCTAGGAGCAGTTGGATCCAATAGACGTTTTGAAGTACATTTTCTTTCTTTTTGCATGGAAGCTCTGTGATTCTGCCCTGAATAACATTCTTAACCTCTTTTTATGAGAGTGAAGTATAGTTAAGGAAAGTTAAGAGAAAAGAGGAGGTATCAGATGGGAGCTTTGGGATTTCAGCCTGTCTGGTCATGGCCACTGTGCACATGTCAGGGTCTGCGGGACAGGCCTTGCTTATCTCCAGGAGCTGACAGCCAGGCACACTTGCTCGGAGTGGCATCTTGACTCAGCATAGTTTATCTTAAAGTTGAATTAAACCAGAAATAAAATCTTCCTCTATTTTTAAAAATGTCCACACTTGAAGTTATTCAGGAATAGCTGAACTTCATCTACTGATTTAGCAGAAAATATCTCTTAAGGCATCTTTGCCATATTCATTAAAAGAACAGGAAACCTGCCCAGTGACTCAGAATTAAAAGGTGTTTATTTTAGAAATAGCGATCGCTCGCGGTAAGGCTGAGTTGAATGACTGCTCTGTTTGGTTTCCTGACTTTGGTAGCACTCAGCGGTTCTGCAGCAAAGATAACTCTCCTTTTCCAAATTATTAAGACAGTCAGTACATCAGAAAACCCCTTCATAAGCAACAGCTAAGACTGCAGTCACTGTCACGCCTATTTTACACCCGTCAGTCCACCCAGGTGTATGCATTATGTATCATCATAAGATCATTCAAGAATTTTTAAACCCCAACAGCAATTTTTGCCTTGGCCGCCTCTGCTGTGGGGAGTTCCCCAGGTTGGCTGGAGCCCCCAGCAGCATCCTGCCCCTGGCAGAGGAGAGATGCTTCCTCGCTACCAGGTATGCACTGACACTAATTGCAGACTAGGATTGGAGACCGTGCAACCTCAAAGAGCAGGCAGCTCATCTCCTGTCTGGCTGCTCTACACCTCACTTGGAAAGACAAACAGAGCAGCATTTTGCTCAAGAACGGATGAAGTAAAACCTAGGAAAGGCCCAGCCTCAGCAACCTGACCCAGACCTTCCCGCTCAATGAGGTTAACCAGAGCTCAGGGTGTCTGGCCAGCTTCTCCTTGAGCTCCCGGCAAAACCAGCCCTCTGCAGAGCTGCGGAGAGGTGAAGGTGGAGGAGACCCCTTCTCCTGCCTGGGCCTCCTCCAGCCAAAAGCAGAGAGCTCCGAGATTGATGCTATTCTGGGGGCTAGGGCTCACCTGATGCCACCTTTGCTGTGCCTCTACCTCCCACTATTTCTCTAACGCAATGTATCAGCCAGAAGCACACATATCTCCAGGTTTTGCTGCCTTAGGAAAATATTTGCAAAAGCTCCTTTGCTTCTCTGACTGATGTTGGGTATTTCTTTTTCCTTCATCTCCTTCCCAGTCCCGAGGCAAGCTGGTGGCAAGGAGGTAGAGGACCGACACGATGCATCCCATCGGTGAGCTCCCCACTTACCTCTCGGCTGCGGAGGTGCCCCACAAACTCCATAGCTCTGGAGGAGAAGCAGCAAAGAGGTCAGCAAGGCAGAGAAAATCCTGTCCATGGTCATGGAGGAGCTGGAGACTGGATGCAGAGTGGCAAGCAAGAGCCTTGGCCCAGAGGTATTAACCTGCCCTTCCTCGGGGAGGCATGGGGCCAGCCCCTGACACGTGTGGAGTGCCGGGGCGGGGGGGCACCGAGGGGAGAGGGACAGGCAAGAAGGACTAGGAGAAAATATTGCACGAAGGTGGGGAGGGGGAGGATGTCCAGCCTTGCCGGCCCCCAGCCCCTCCACAATGGCTTCATTGCTCGGCGAAGGGGATGGGAAGCTATAAAGAGACCCGCAAGGACGTGGTATGTGGGGAATCTGGGACTGTAACAGTGGGACCAGTGAAACCAGCCCTGGGGAACTGGGGTTAGCCTGTCAATCACCAGCTCCTGTCTGCATATCCCGGGCTTTGCCACAGTAAGCAAACGGTCTGTGGTGTGTCAGGCTTGTGTCCTTCCTGCAGCAAAGCCCAGGGAGGGGGGGGGACGGGAATAGGGTCACACAAATCATCTCTCAGTCCCTGCGTTTGCCAGGCATGGGGCTGGAAACCAGCCTGTGGGATGGGGGGCTGCACTTCCTTGGCTTAATTTGTGGGCGAATGCTCGGTTGCAGGAGAAGGAGAGAGGAAGAGGAGAACAAGGCTTGGGGAGGCACGGGTGAAAACATAGGATGCAGAACAAATTTCTTCCTGCGGGAAACAGTTACTTGTCAATGAGGCTGTCCCCCCTGTGCAGGAAAGCAGGGAGGGAAAGAAAGAAGTCAGGAGCCTAAACTAGATAAATAGACAAGAAACTCAGGATAGACAGACAGATTAGAAGTTTGATTTATTTTTTTACAGAGTAGCGTTCAGGTCTGTACACACGAGGGAGATACAGCTCCTGCCACAAAAAGCCAATAATCTAAATCAACAAATAAGACTGATGATGCTGCAAGTGAGCAGAAATCCAATGTTTTCTTTATGGAAAAGCAGCAGGGAGATTTGATACTGGAGTAAGATGAATTTAATGATGGGTTCATCACAAAGCAGTGCATCTTCTTTTTTTTAACTTCTGTATTACACTATTGTCAGTTGATTAAAGCCCTTCTCCTCTGATGGATTAGTCTTTGCTCACCTTTCCAGCCGCACACCCTTGGAGCACTCATCCATTTAATCTGCATTGTGTTAGTGCAGTGCCATGGCAAACTACCTTTAATTCAAAGTCCAGCTTCTCGTCCCTTGTCCAGAGTCACTCTTTACTCCAAAAGTGCTTCAACAGAGACCGAGAGCTCCTGTGGAGAAAGGCTCTTTGATTACAGGGAAAAAAGGACCTGTCCTTAGTGAAGTTGCCAGGCTATTCTTAACTCCTTCAACATGAAAAGTGTTAATTAAAATATTAAAAGATGGCTATGTTCTCATGCAAAATCAGCATGGCTTTGTCCCACTGCTGTCTTCCCAGGTACACACCATCAATCACGCGCTTTCCTCCATCTCTGGAGCTAGCTGGAAATTTTTAGCCAGAAGGAGCAAATGCTTCAGATGAGCTTTTTTTTTGCTCCCATTTCACCTCTTTCTGTCATTGAGGCCCTTTTACAAGCTTGGTGGCATCTTATTTTGTTTGCTTGTTGTTTCAGAGCCCCTGGGATTAAAAGGGCTACCACGCAGGGTGTGAGAATTGCAGGTTATGGTGATGGAGTAGTATAGAAAAGGCATGCATACCTGCATGTGCATACACAAAGATCTCAGTATAAAAACTTCATGTATAAAGGCTTATGCCTGTGAATAAACAAATATATATGTGTATGACCATACATGCATATAAACATGATTGCATATATGTGCTTATGTATACAAATATGTATGTGTGCACATACATGCAGGCACATCCTCCATGCATGCTTTTCATGGATGTCTTAATATATGTATGGATTTTGATGAGTGCTAGTATGTATAAATGCCGTTCACTGATATCCTTGTGCTTATACGCACACAGGTACATTTGCTCCCCAAACATATAGAACAGCTACACCCGTAGCTACTGGGGAACAAAGTGAAATAAAAGTATAAAATCTGGCAGATTTTACCTCCAGCCCTGTGTACGGTAGGGTTTCTCCTGCTGCCCTGCCATGCATACAAGGATCTATTGGTGCAGACAGTACTTGCTTACCATGAATAGGGATCATTCAGAACCCTCTGTAAATGAAGTCTCTATTGCTGTTCTTGCTGAGGAAAATATAAAGTTTCTCTGTGTCATTTTGCTGTTAATTAGCAAAGAAAGATAAATACATTTCAGGTGAATATTTTCACTAGCAGAGGTTGTGGCACACAAGCAAAATTAAAGCTTTGAAAATAAGGTGAGAGGCAAAGGTGTGCTGGATACTATAGGTCTGCATTTATACCTCTGTAAAAGCAGTGTTTATTTTTAAAATATGAAACATAATTTTTCCCCAGGCCTCCAAAAATGAAAACACTGGATTCAATATTTCAAGAGGAAAATATGCATTTAAAGCTCTTCCCGAGCCTGCTTGCAACGTAAACAGACAAACCATTAACAGCTCAGGCTGGCCCCAGAGCGGCCCTGCCATTCTGCAGAGCCACTATTGTAGGCTTCACGTGTCCTGGCACAAGGAAGGGCTGCCTTTCCTGCCAGCACATCCACATCCATGTCTCCTTACTAAAAAAGTGCTTGTTTTAAATACCAGATCCCCTCTTTCCATTCACTGCTGGATGCTCAGCAGAAGGTCCTGGTCCCATCCTGCTCCTGCTGAAATCAAACGCTTCAGACTGATGGGAAATTGTTGTGTACAGCCAGGGAGCTTTTTCCTCCAAACAACGGTCCCGTTGTATTATTATCTGAGTGCAGATGAAGAAGAGGCACATAGATGCTTTGTGCCAAGTCAAAGAGGGTGATAGTGAAAGACAATGCCTGCACCCATACAGGTTTTTCTGACATGGGTTTGCACCCCAGTCCCTTGCTCTCCACATCTCTGTTCAGATTATGACCATCAGGGGTGACAAATAGCATTTTTTGGAGCAGTCTCCATTACATGATGGACTGATACGCTCTACGCCACCAGCACTATGGATAAAAGTACTTCGACGATGGCTGCAGCCTCCATGCTCCCACCAGCAGGTGGGCAGAGGGGCTGGAGCTGCTGGGGCCATCTTGCCATCGCTGGTTGAGACCATGATTGCTGATGCCCGTTGTCAGCCAGCTCAGATGGATGAACTTGGCTGCACTAAGCTTGTCTGCGGTGTCTGGATGTCGCAGCATGGATGAGACGTGTTTAACGACATGGCAGCGTGAAGCTCACTGTCAGAGTGCTTAAACTGCTGGGACACTTCAGCTGGAAAAGAATAATATTGCAAGTGCTTAGCAGGGCTGGAGAGCCTTTGCACTGCCCTAACAACCAACACGGCCTAACTACAGCCAAAGCTTCTGCCCGCGGGTGAATGAGACTGAATTAAAATAAACAGATTTCCAAAGGCAGTCAGGTCCAGCAGAAGACTCCAGCATGAAGTCGGGAGATGTAGCTTGTCCTCCCCAGCATGCCCAGTCAGGGAAGCATCATCCCCTGCACACAGGGAGGAGAGAGGTTTTTTCTTCAGTGGCTGGTGGCTCAAAGCTCTGCGCAATGCCCCAGACGTCCTTCACCGTTTGCTTGCTGTGCTTCATTCTCCTTCGGATCCTCCCTTGTTTTTCTAACAACCTTTTCCTGGCTTGTAAAATCCTGATGCTAAAATACCACTCTGCTGGATGCCTTCATTCTTCAGATTGTCAAATCTGCCAGCCTTGGGCTGGGCCAGGAGAGAGCAAAGCCTAGTTTAAGAATGAGTACAAGAAGTACTACAAGGCAAGCACCTACTGATATGGGCAGTATTACAGCTGGGGGAGGTGGTAACTTCTCATTTGTTATAAGACAAGCAAGTCTGATGGCATAAACCATATAAATGCAGATTATTTCTCTATCACTATATGCATAACATTTCACAGGAATGTAGATCAGATGGGAAAAGCCAAGAAAAATGACATTTTAGTTTCAATAGTGCAGACATGCTTTGTTTTGATTTGGCATTTTACTTTTCCAATTTGTTTTGCTTAAGCTTTGTTTTAAAACAGTATTTCAGTTTCATATTTACATATTTCCAATAAACATTCATTATTACCTTTAATAACTTAGTATAAATTTCACACTGCAACAGACCAAAATGATAAAATCAAAATGAATCAGTCCCTAAGGCACTTCCATGTAAATGACCCAGAAGAATGTGAAGCTCTTCTGTGGGAAAAAAGGAAACCAGGCTTCAGGGATCTCAAGACATTTCTAAACTTCCGATAGAGTTCAAGCAGAAGGCATTTAAAATATTGGATTTTTCTTTAAAAAAAAAAAAAAAAAGCGCACAGTGTTTGTAGCCCTGGACCATAAATACTTTTTAGAAGGGACTGGAGATGTGGCTAAGCCATGGCAGTTGAGGCAGTGGAGGGAGAAGAGGGTTGGGAAGGGACAAGCAGCCAAACCCTGAGTAGTTTACTGTTGATTTTTATTTCATTCTAAACAAACCTGTTAGCTGTAGTAAACACAGCTTCCTTGCCCTCCAGCCACCAGAAAACTCCAAGGTTTAGCAAAATGCTCAGTAGTTTTTTTTGTCTTTCTTGGGCTTCCTCTGGTGTTCCCAGGTGAGTGTTTCTGAGCTGGATTCGCAGCCTCCATTTTTCAAATACTCAAAGAAATGGTGACAAAAGCCACCATTTAGTCAAAGCTCCAATTCTTGTATTGCGTCCCCACGGTGTTTGTATTTCCATTTCTTACAGGGAGTGGAGGAGTCCCTCCCAGCCTGCTTCATTACCTGAAAGGATATTTACTGCACCGCCATTGTATGGCGAGAGTGGTATTTACAGCAGGGGGATCAGTGTGAAGCATAAAACAAATGATGGAAAGGGTGAAAGACTGGGGAGAAATGAACGGCTTTAAATATAACGCTTTCAACAACTCAGGATCAAAGGAACTGCTGTTTATCCTTTAAGCTGCAAATGGCT